AGAAGCAAAAATTAACAGAATAAACGGGAGAAATAGACAAATCTACAATTAGATTTGAAGATTTTAAAATTTCTTTTTTTAGCAATTGATGGGTCAACTAGACAATAAATCAGCAAAGACATAGAATATATGAGTATGTCCTTGCTATGACTATCAAACTCACCAGAATATTTGTGGCTAATTTACATTTTTAACATGAAGGATGATATATCAGAATCACGTCTTTTTTTTTTTTTTTTTTTTTGAGAGAGAGAGAGCACCAGTGGGGAGAGGAGCAGAGGGAAAAGGTGAAGGAGACTCCACGCTGAGCCAGGACTGAGTTAGGAGCCCCAAGAAAGGGCTGGATCCCAGGGCTCTGAGATCATAACCTGAGCCCAAGTCAGAAGCTTAACCAACTTAGCCACCCAGCTGCTCAATCAGAATCACATCTTAATGTTAGTCATATTAACTTGCAATAGCTTGTTTCTAAATATGTCAATAGAGTACATATTTCTATCCAAATACTTCGAAAGCATTTAAGGCATATTCAAAAATTAAAGGTTGTCCACTATAATGAATTAAACGTAGCTAATTCCCATAACTCAGCATCATTGCACACAATACAGGGCAGTTAAGAATGTGGGCTAAAAAGTCAGATGGACTTAAATAAAATCCCAGCTCTGCCTCTTCCTAGTTACATGTGGGGGGTGTACTACTTCCTATCTCATGATCCTTCACATTCTCCTCTCAAAACAGAATGATAGCGCATGTCTCATAGAGGTAAACAAGATATTAACATCAGTGTGTTAACAGTTGTCATTGTATGATTATCAAAAACAGGAGCCAATTTGCGTTGCATTTCAGTAAATAAATGAATCTTGGCTTTGAAAATGAGGATGAATCCAACTTGGGACGATAGCAAGGAGCCTTTGAAAACCACTGAAGTCAGTGGAGGTTTATCCTGCAAAGCTACTGAGATCAGATCTGAAAAGTTCAAATCTTTACATCAAAGCTGATCCCCCTATGGGTTCAGGAGTCTTTGCCTGGAAACACATATGCCTAAGTAGAGTTTTCAGTTTGTTTCGTTTTTGAAATTTGTAGTTTCCCTTCCATTGCACCCAAATGTTTCTTATTTCCTTCCCCAGGTTGACAAAGAATATTGATTTTGGTAGTAAGAGAGGTCAGAGGAATTTACAATTTTTTTCTCTTCTTGATAATGTCATCTTTAAAATGTCATTTAAGCACTTTGCTTTTCTGTACACTAAAAAAAAAAAAAAATTTTAATCATCTATAACCAGCAAGAGACCCTAAAAAGATGACCTAAATTGAGACCACCTGCCTCCTGATGAAACTGAAATTTGAAGTAGTTTTTTTTTTTTCCTTAGGGTTGACCTTTCAATCAAGTACAGTTCAGGTTTCAAATGATTTACCCAAGAATCTTTGATTGTTTTCACTAAGTTTTCCCAAACTGATAAAATCTAGAGTAAGACTGCCATCCATACTCATCAGGAGAGTCATCTTAAATGAGATAAACTCTGAGAATTATTTTCTTTTCTAGTGGTATTTTATTTTAATAAGCTTTCCACTTTAATAATCTTTCAACTTCAACATCAGGGATTAAAAAAAGAATAATTGAATATGATCACTTTTTTTTTTTTTGGCCAAGAAAGCCTCTGAAACTGCTTTCTTTTTTTTTTTTTAAAGATTTTATTTATTTATTTGAGAGAGAGGGAAAGAGAGCACAAGCAGAGGGAAAGGGAGAAGCAGGCTTCCTGCGGAGCAGGGAGCCCCATGCAGGGTTCTGTCCCAGGACCCTGAGATCATGACCTGAGCCGAAGGCAGACGCTTAACGACTGAGCCACCCAGGCGCCCTGCTTTCAAAGCAAGATGAAAAAGATAAACTCTATAAATATAGTTTCTCATCTCAAATTAACTTGTTTAACAAAATCTCAAAGCCAGATAATCAATTGTTCATTTTATAAGAATGAACTAAAAGAATGTTTACCAAGGATAGACAGCATTGCCCTTTTATAATTTGTGACTGCCCTGAGGCTGCTTGTAAAGCTAGTTTCCTATTCTTTATTAATGGCCATGACACAGGCCAAAGTCCAAAGGTGGACTACTGGTATCAGAATTATTTGGGGGACTTGTCAAAAATACAGAGTCATGGGACCTGTCCCACTTCTTCCAAACCAGAATCTCTAGGAATAGGTGACAGGGGCCTGTATTTTTACCAATATCCCCACATCATGCCTATGCAAACCGAGGTTTTGGGAACTGCTTTCCAAGAAGATTTGAGCGATCTTGGAAAGGAGCTTGGAACTTCACAAAGCCCTCACCCTCGTAACAGAAGACAAAGGACAAAGGTTTTATAATTTGTTCCATAGGTTGATGCCCAAATTTCCAACCATCATCACATATGCTAAAAAGAACATATATCTAATATCTTTAAGTATTTACGAATACTTTCATATCTTTAATAAAATCAGGGTGCAAACTCAAAAAATAATAATAATTTGTGAACTCCCAAAATAAAGTCAAAAACGAAGGGAACTGAGGTCTGGAAATCAGGTGTCATTAAGGAAAGTAGCGCACAAGCACTTCCTCTTAATTTTCTTAAAATTACAGCAAAAATACTCCTTATATTCCAACATCGAACATGTCCGTACAAGTCATCAGGGAAATGGTGGTGTTGAAGATGGAAGCTCAGCTTCACTTATACCAGCAGAGTTTGAAGTCTAGGTTTTTCTATAAATAATTTCAAAATTATTTACCATTTGACATGTACTACCTCCTAAACCCATAGCAGCTAAACCACAATCAAGAAAATGAAAGCCAATAATGAAATGTAGAAGGACATATGCATAGCCTCAAAATGCTGTAGGTAATTACAGAAACCACATTAAGTGAAGATCGTGTGCTTCTGGCTGTCATTTATTCATGATTTGCTATTATAAAATCCTGCGGGGTATTGCCCAGATACTGCAATGAGTATTTGCAAAGTTAAGACTAAGGTATTTCTAATAGTGGCTCACATATATGAATAAAAGACCTAAAAAGTGAAACCTGCTCTTATAAATGGAGAAGCATGTGTATTTAGCTTCAGTGTCTAGTATATATTAATTTTTGTTAATTGGTATTAATATATTAATTTAAGAAAGCAAAGAAAAACGGTAGTTTGCTGAGAATTTTATTAATTCTCACTTCTTATTAAATGAAAAAGTGTGTCAAATAGCAATGCTATATTACTCAGAAAAAGCTCATCTTCCTGCAGTAATGTACTTTGTTCCATCCTAGATTTCACAGGCTAAACTGATTAGCAGCTCACCAAGAACTGTGAGAATTATTCAAAAGAACTAGAAGAGAGAAAACAGGATGTTGTGAGAAAGTCACATAAAGAACAGTGTATTATACTTAGGGGCTTTGCATCCTAGAGCTCATAAAATGAAAAAAAGAAAAATCCATCGCCTTTTCTCTCAGCTCACTGAGAGGGATACTTTATCAAACATTTCTGAAAATAGGACATCCTGCTGGTTTGTTTTATCTTATTAAACAGGGAATAAAACACATTGCTTTATTAGAGTTGTTTCAAGAATGCATCAAAGCTGAGGACTTTCAACACAGAAATCAAAGAACTGAAAAAAAAATCACAACTGCTGTATCTCACCCCCCCACAACAAAATATAATTGACTATAATGAATGTAGAGTTGAAAGACAACTGGTAGAAATATGACTAAATCACATACCAAAATCACTGAAGCATTTAACTTTCCTATAACTTTTATCTCATGATATCCTGCTCATTAAATAGTTTATGTTTCTCACCATATAGTAACATGGTAATTGTTGGAAAATTACTTCTGGGAATTTTAAGAGCTATGGGTGAATCAGGTACTCAATATGGGTGACTTTTCCGAGCAGGACTTCCTACCTCAATCATCATTTTATTCAACAGAGTTGCAAATGTGAGTTCAAGCAAGAATCAATTCTGTCACCTTCTCCTCTTGAAGAAATGAGACGTTTTGAGTAGGCAGCAGATCACATACTGCTCTGTATGCCTCTCTGGGGACTTCAGAGCAACCAGCCAGATTATGGGTCCCAATAATGGATCTGACTCACTCCCATAGGCACAGTTATCCAGGTGTTTCCTTGGCTGCTGGTCCCTGTTTAATCTCTTCCCTATCCCACTTTGGAGAGGCCGAAGTCACGTGTGAAGATACTCATCTCCCATTATTTGAGCTCATTTCTGCTAGAACAGGTTTTTTTTTAATTCAGCATATAAAAATTTAATAAAATATAAAGAGAAATAAGTTCATACTTTTCACTTACTTTCCCTTAAGCTTGGGACAATAACCAGGATACAGTAATAAATACTTCATTAGTGGGACTGACAATACAATGTCATGGTTAAAAATATTGGTGAGAGTAGGAAAGTGGATGCCAGGAGCTACAGGAGTGAGGGAAATAAGGAGAATAGGAGTAGAAGAAAACAGGGAGATGGTAAAAGGGTGCAAACTTTCACCTACAAGATGAATAAGGTCTGAGGATCTTATGGACAACATGAGACTATACTTGGTAACACTGCATTCATTATATAATTGAAAATAAGTAAAAAAATAAATAAACTTTTTAAAAAGTGAATATAGGCTCTGAATTCAGATAAATCTTGGGAAACTTTCTATCAATTATTAACTATGAGACTTGTGGCAAGTATGTTAACTATATGTTCGACATACAGTAAGTGTTCAGTAAATGTTAACCGTTACTACCATGATTAATTATTACAGTCATTATAATAATAGTCAAGGGCAGAGTACAAATATCAGTATGACTGGTTAGGAAACAGGTTAAAAGTTTTTAAGAGGAAATCAATGTGTCAAGAAGTTGACTGGGAAAAACAGCCATGAGAATAATGGAGACAAACAGAAAACGGGGGGGTGGGGGGGTTACTGTAAGAAATGTCATAGTCTAATTTAAAAGTATTAGTTACAGTTCCCACTCTGAGGCCAAAACATGCCCGCCACCGAGTTATCATGGCAGAACTCGCCACCAAGAATTCAGAATGGGTGGAAGTTGACACCTGGGAAAGTCTTCAGAAGGAATGGGTAGAGACCGTTAAGGTGCTAAGACACCATCAGGAGAAACTGGAGGCTGGGAGCTGTGACCACCAGCAGGACTCACCTACACCAGGAAGGCCCGGACAGAAAAGGAAGTGGGTGGAACAAAGACAAGATTTTAGTCAAAAGAAATTGCTAGAGCCAAAACCAAAAGTTGTGCCAGAGGTAAAGCTGCTGTGTGGGGCAGATTTATTGGAGTCCTTTGCTGTTCCCAATCTGTGGAAGAGTGAGGATATCACCCAAATTGTGGGAGACTATGGGCTCATATGTATTACTCGGGCTGGAAATGATGCTCAGAAATTCATCTATGAATCTGATGCACTGTGGAAACACCGGAACAACATTCACCTGGTAAATGAATGGATCACCAATGACATCTCATCCACAAAGATCCGGCGAGCCCTCAGAAGGGGCCAGAGCATTCGCTACTTGGTACCAGACCTTGTCCAAGAATATATCGAAAAGCATGATCTGTATAGCTATGAGAGTGAGGAGAAGAATGTCGGGGTCATCCTGGCTCCTTTGCAGAGGAAAGTTGCGGACGCTAACTCATAAATCCTACAGGATGATATTTTGGATTTCCAGTTTGGGAATTTGAAACAGTCTGGGTGTTAGTAACTGGGAAGAGAAATTGTGATCCTGTTTCATAAACTAAAGCTTCTTAAAAGTTTGGTAAAAATCAGAAGTAGATTAAAATCAGGTTTATCATTTTATTGGAAATTGCTAAGATGAATGTTTTCAATATGGTCTTTTTTCTTTTTTTCTTTTTTAAAGAATGTACAAATCCTTGAATCTTTAAAATGGGATTAACGGCACTAAAATCAGAAGCCATTCAGTTTAACTACAAATAAGAAGTCAAAAAGGACATTTTAGTTTTACCACATAAGAGGAACAAAGTGGGAAAAACAAGAGTCCATTTAAAATGCTAACTTTAGGGGTGCCTGGGTGGCTCAGTTGGTTAAGCATCCAACTCTTGGCTTCGGCTCAGGTTGCGATCTCGCAGTCATGGGATCGAGCCCCGTATCAGGCTCTGCATTCAGCGTGGAGTCGGCTTCAGATTCTCTCTCCCTCTCCCTTCCTGCTCACTCTCTTTCTCAAGTAAATAAATAAATAAAATCTTTAAAAAAAAAAAAAAAAAAAAAAAACGGACTCTTGAGATAGTGGATCCAATCAGATGTCCACCACGAGGAGCCCCTCTCATTTAACGCCAACCAACAAGATAGAAGGACTTTCGAATCAAGAGTAGAACACCATGCTTTCCATGAATTACAGTCAGAGAAATAAGAACCACTAAAAAGTGCTCATGACTTGATAAGGCCTTCTGGCCAAATGACCACTCTGAGTCAAAAAAAAAAAAAAAAAACAGTAACAGTAACAGGACAAGAAAAGGGAGAGAGAGAGAAATTAGGTTGAAGAGAGTGGAAAACAAAAACAAACCAACCAACCAAAGGTAGATGGGGAGGAAGTTTGCAATGTGCCACTGATACTCTCTGTTGCTTGAAGAATTGAAGAGAAGCAGGCTGCATGCAAGAGGGGAGAGTCAGGTTCAAAGGGCTTAAAAACCCCAAGTTTCCTGAAAATGTGATGACAGGCAGTGCCCTGCCTGATGGGGTCGTGGACTGGAGAGCTTCGTGTGCATATCACTTATGTCTATTTTGTTCATTGAGGACTCCCAGTGCCAAGGGAGGGGGGACCAAACCAACACAGAGACCATCTTCTTAGAGACCTCCCTGTCACATATCCCAGCCATCATTGCATGTAGTCTGCTTAAAACTCTCACAAGCTTCAAGAGAGTAAATGATAAGAAGGGAAATAGAGTGGAATAGGGAGAGAGAACGTATAACCTATCCCCTCAACATGAAAACCCTCCCTTATCCTCAGACTTTAAAAATTCAGAAGTAGGCTGACAGGACATTTGCTGAATTTGTCTGCTCCCACACAGCTCTATTGCCGTGCTTTCTCCAATTTTCGCCTCTGATTCACTCTTTTCCCACATAATCCTACTACAAACTGCCTTAAAACATTAGTATGCATTTACAAAGTAAATTCAATTAAGACTATACTGACTGTGTGTCATATGCCAGGATCTGGACTAGGAGCTCAAGCTCACCGGCAGTCAGAGAGCTCTCAACACCTCAAGTGGGTCAGCAGCTTCTGACATCACAGTTTTAAAGGCCTTGTGAAGCTAAACTCTAAAATCTGCAGGAAGATGAGGCAGTACTTGCTTTAGCCATGCAATTTCTCCTTTAAGCAATAGCATTCCATTCAGGCTTGGCAACAGTACTTGTCAGGACAGCCATGAGCTACTGGTCAAGTGAACTGTGGCCCTTAGTGAATCATGAGAGAAGTATAGAACGTTCTGTCCCACTAGCCACATGGACTATTTCAAGCGTAGCAACAATAAAGGGTGTGTGGCAAACATAACCGCAAAAAACAAATGCATCTAACCATTTAGGCCAAAAGCAAACTATCTTGCATCCAAAGACGTCATCCTTGAAAATTCTATAGAATGACCCACAATCCAGCAATAAGTGACTCATTTGGCATAGTAATAACAAAGCCTCAAATTTGTAAAGCTGTTCGTGGTAACTTGTTTTCCTGAGACGCATTTGATTTTCTTTCCTTGAATGACATTTAAACAATGCAGCTTTTCTTAAACTTCCAAATTCATGATTTTCTGTTTAATTCTCAGTCCAACTTGGAATTTTAAAAAATATAACAACCAAGTCAATGGACCTCTTATGGTTATCTCAGTTCAAGACAGTTAGCATTAGCTTGTTCCTGAAGACAAGATTGGCAATTATTTGCTTCATGCCAGATTTTACTTCAATAAAACAAGACTATAAGCAGTTATATTTACTATATGAGCACAAGAAATGTCATACGACCTTTTGAAAATTACTGTTATGCTAATCGGTGAAGCTCTAGTGGAGCAAAGAGGATCTCCTCTGCGTGTTCCTTTCAGAGACAAGGTTTATTTATTTGCATCTGAAAACTCAAAGGGTTGGGCACCTGGGTGGCTCAGTTGGTTAAGCTACTGCCTTCAGCTCAGGTCATGATCCTGGAGTCCCAGGATGGAGTCCCGCATCAGGCTCCCTGCTCAGTGGGAAGCCGCTTCTCCCTCTGACCCTATCCCCTCTCATGCACGCTCTCTCTCAAATAAATAAAATCTTTTAAAAAAATTAAAAAGTAAAAAATAAAATAAAAACTCAAAGGGTTGATTTCAAGCTGCCCTATATTTTGGTCCAATATTCTTTTCAACATCACTGTGATGTTTGAAAACAATAAATATGTTGCGTCAAGTATTCTATGTTTAATGACTCTAAGAAATGGATCAAGAGTTGTTAAAATCTTGGAAGAGGATCATGTTCCCTACAAAACCAGTCAGCTACTGGGTTAAGAGTGGTGTTCTTCAGGCATGTATTTAGAGTCCTCAACATGATGAGTGGTTAGGACAGAATTTCGGGCAACATTATATCCTACCATGGAGTATGTAAACATCTACTTACCAGGAGTTTAACTGGGAAATAATTTGCACAGAAACCCAACCGTGGTAAGTAGAATAGGGTTGGAAGATTAGGAAGCAAAAATGAATAAAAGGGAATAATTATTGAGATAAAATGTCTTATCTCCCACTGCCAACCAAAAATAAATTTTTAAATTGTGAGTGTAAATGTCAAGGCAAGAAATTCTAATAGTTAAGGTAGTGTTTATTTCCCCTTCTGCACATAACTTTTCATCAAACGAGGAGCAGTGGATGCAAATGAGAAATGTGTACTGTATGGGAGGAAGAGGGTTGCTCCCCAAGGAATTACACACAGAAAGAAATTGTGGAAACAACCATTGTGAATGCTTAAAGCATATTCTTTTTCCATTCTCCTCTTTCCATTCCTACTGTCTCCCTCTTCTACGTCTCATGCCAACATCTTTATTAGCTTTTGTTTTCATTTTGTGTAACAAAGGCCAGGAAAGAATAGTGCAAAGGACTACAGAAAAGCAAAAATGTCCATTTTTGACCAGAGGCGACATCACTCTTCACATTCCAACTGGATCTGATTCCAGAGGCAAGAAAGGGGGGACAAATGAGCTTAATTGAAATAAAAAATAGGAGAGGATATAAACTGTACCTTCTTTTATCCACAGGAGCTGAATTTGCATATTTTTTGTATTTTTTAATCAAAAGAGCTGGCATTTCAGCAAAAAAGCTCTTTCTGGTTTTGCCCAATAATCATGAAAAGCACTGCAGAGCAGAAGTTGCTTTCCATATGAAATGTGGTAGTTTGGAAAATGTTTCGAGTCCAGAAGCATATTCTGAAACTACCATTTTGTAAATTTACTTAACCTGGAGTTAAGAATTCTAAATTCTCCTATCTAACTCTGTTACAAAATGGATCCAGACTCTTCCACATTGCTAACCTATTCCCTTGTTTACAAGGCAGTCATCCTTTAAAGCTTCACTAACATTGCCAGGTCATGAACAAAGACATGATATCTTTCCTGTCAACCTCTTACGAGGCAGAGTAACACAGTGGTTCAGATCTCTTTCACTGGCATTAACAGTATCTGAGTTTGCACTTTAGTCTCATCATCTAGGAGCTGTATAATCTTAGATACAGTTATCCCTCAGGTTTTCATTTGTAAAATCAGGAACATTGTTATAAGGATCTAATTATATACAGATTCATTTAAAAATAGTGAATTGCTTCTACGAGCCAAGAGTTGTTGTCACCACTGGAAAATACAGTGATCAAAAAAATACACAAAGTCTTTGCTCAATAAACTAAAAAAAAAAAAAAAACATAAATAAGAGAATGTTCACAAAATGATTTGTGTTATGAGTTAAATAAAGGGAATAATGTATAGGAGAGTGACACCTGAGGGGCACACTGTAGATGGCATGGTCAGAGATGGAATCTACCAGGTGACAGTTGAGACCTGATATAAGTGAATTGAGGAACCTAAGTCCAGACTCTAGAAGACAGCATGTTGAGCATGTGGGTCAGCAGGTGCAAAGGCTCTAGGACTTGAGGGAGTTTGAATTTTAGAAAGAATACAAAGACCAGAACAAAGTTGGTGAGGAAATAAATAATAGGTGAAGTGATCCAAGCGTTAGGCATGGGTGGTAGAGACTGGGCTGAATATAAATTGTGCATCCAGACTATGCAGGATGCCTTCCATTCGCCTCTCTGAACCCCCTCTCCGCTTTTCTCCACTCTGCTTTGTGCCCAGGAGGCTGCCTTCTACTCCAATAAAAGGATCCTTTTCAGTTGGGGTGGGCCATTGCAGGACACTAGCAGGCAGGTGGAAAGGTAGGGGAGAAAGAAGGTAGGGGTGTTTATTCTCCCAGCTGCCCTCCTGTTACATCCCTAAGGGTTAACTGTACTCTTCTATAAAAGCCGCAGCTCCCTTCAGTTGTCCCTCTCCATACAATTACCCTCTCTAGACTCCCATAAGCCACTCTCTCCCCTTGCACCTTCAGGCCTTGGTGTGAGATGGCCTCCCTCCTTTGCTAGCCCCAGAGCAGTACTGTACCAATTGTTTTCCTTAAACCCTGCCTACAGATGTAAACTTTTACAAAGTTTCCTCAAATTACCCAGAATTAATGTGCCATCTCTTTCTTGCGAGAACCCTGGTTGATGGGTAAAATGGAGTAAGGATTTGGAGTTTAATTCTAAAGCACACAATGCATGGAAAATGACTCACAGTCCACATGGTGAGCACTTTGGTTATGTTAATCCTCATTATGATTATCCCATTTAGACAAAATGACTGGCTCCTCAATACATTGGAATATTGCATTGAGAGTATCTGAGTTGCACTGAATCACCCTCTTCTGCTCTTTTGGCCAGTGTCCAGCAGTGGCTGGACCAGGAGGTGGGTTGGTGACAATGAGACAGCACAACTCGAATGTGTTCAAACAGAATGCCTGACTCTCTGCTTCATCCTCTCCATGTGAAAATACAGAAATGACTTATCCTGGATATATTAGTGATACTACCCGGGGCACTCTGAGTAAGTTAAGAAAAGAAAAGGTGCAATTCCTGTTAAAAATGTGAGATGATCAAGGGAACATAACAGTGTAAAATTAGGTTTGGTCTCTGAAGTAA